AACAGTAAATCGCACAAAAAATTGAAGATAAAAATGAAATATGATACAGTGGATCCTGACACAAGTGGAAGCTAAATTTAACTCTAAGTCGTGTATTATGCAAACCGTGAAACGTGATTTTTTTCAATTTTTAAGTGCAAACAAAGCTACATTCCAAGAAGAGGAGAAGCACTAGCAATTCGTCACTTGAAGCAATACTTTGAAATACTTTGATTTGCGGTCACCACCAGAATGGTGCGCCAATTGTTGCGCAGAGGGTTAAATGTTCACCTAGTCACCAAAGTGAAGGAACTAATGAGCCAAAATCCGATCAGAGATGCCGCGACACAATCAACAATTGAAAAAAACGCTGAATAAACCACGTTGAGGACTAGAAAGAGTGCCAGAGAGTACGGAGAGAGAGAGGGAGGGAGAGAGGGGTATTTGCGAGGGAAACAAATGCACAACAAACACGTGACTGCGTGCAAGCAGATGGGATTGGAAATACCAAAGCAAGTTTATATACGAATCACTTAGTCAAGAGTGAGTGTGAGATATGGGTGCAAGGGTACTTTACATTGTAAATACGGTCAGTCATCCCTGAAACGTAGTAGCCAATTGCTGTTAAAATACAAGGTAAAATCAAACGATAAATGTAATTCAGGCGACCTATCAGTCTAATAACTTGTGAAATTAGCTATTTCAACTCCTTTTCAGCCGAGTCTAGCAATCATATGGATACAACGCCTCTTCATTGATATTTATTTATATCAAATGGCAGGCGTTTTGACAGTTATCATTAGTCCTTTAGTTGACTTCAGGCTTCATAGAGGGAAGGAACATCAAAGTGAAAAAAGTCGATAGGGGGGGGGGGGAGGGCAGAAGAGTGTTTCAAAGACGAAGGTAGAAAAAGGTGAGGTGAGCACTGTGAAAGTAGTCGAATTTGACATACAGTGGGGTGATGGTAGTTCGAAGTCAGAAGTCAACTGCCGGTTTATAGACTTTTTTGCCGTATGAGTTTACGTTGCCCAGGCTGTACCACGTGGAGGTAAGTCTATCGCACAAACCCCTTGCAGGCCTGGCATAAACGCAACACCTAACAATGTAGTAGCCAAAAAAAGAAATGGAACCAATTCCGATATTCCTCACAAATATGCATACGAAACGAGATTAGCCTTACAATGGCTCTGGCAACAGAACTACCTTCAGTCCAACTCAGCTTTTCAAGATAAGAAATGTAGTGTATAAATGATCTCCACTCGCTTCATCACTCCACTGTCATATGCTATTAATTTCCAAAGTCCACTAATGCAGTTATTCACGTCATTTGACTCGCTCAGTGACAATAGTCTGATGCCCTACTTATAAATGAGTCGTATCCTACACCCCCCCCCCGTTGACTTTAACTTGGCAGGCGTGCACGTTGGCGCCACGGCTGTGCGCCATTTGTGCTAATCCTTTACATGGAATGCTTGCATTGAATTCCACACTACCTTGGCTAAATTCGCTTATCTTCCTTCGCCTTGGCTGAGTAATTATCGATTATCAATTTATTGCACTCGCGCATTAGAAGCAAGCTGATCTATTGGTGAAATGAAAGTTTAAAGTAATTAAAAAAGAGCCAATAGTTGGTGTTTTAAAAAGAAATAGAGAGACTGAGCAACCTGTTAAGACTGATCACTTCACCTTATGAGGATAATTTAACTGAGAGGACAAGACTGCGCACCAAAAAACCTACCCTCACTCACTCTCATTTACTCTCAAAACAAATGTGATAGTTTTACTTACCAAGCATTCGTGTGAATTTAAAGTGCTTTTGTTTCAAAAGCTTAATTAGGGAAAAGTGTTAGCAAAAGGGATTTGTTTTTTTCGGAGCCTCGTCTTAGAAAAATTGCTAGCGCGCGTCTTATGACACTCCTCATTACTACCATAATTTATCAGGTGTATATGCCAAAAGTGTGTAGAAAAGGCATGTCAAAGACATCTGAATAAGATACCACCGAAACTATGTATGGCTCAAACGGTCGTATGAAGGCACGCGCGTTAATAGACACCAATAATGACAAAGCTAAACGCACCTGTGTTCGAAATTGCGGTACAAGATCGTAGAATGACTCTAGGAAGCCCATTTCCAATGCCTCTTTAAATATCTGCCTTCCTTCCGAAGAGGCAAAAGCGATACATGAGGCAGGAAGAGGTCGACGATAAAACTGCTTCGGTTCATTGGAGGGATCCTTATTGGAAGAGAACCAACGAGCACGCGGAACGGGAGATTTATTCAAATTACTGAGCAGACAAGTGGCATAAGACCTTGAGTTACCAAAGAGACGAAGAATTCGCCTACTGATTGACATCCCCCAACTCAATTTCTCGAGAAGATACCTGATGAAAATACAAAAAAAAATGCGATTACCAGATTGGTGAAAATACGAATATAAGCACAATTTGACAAAAAAACTTTCCTTCTATGATCTTATCCCAAACCCCTCATCTTTACCCTAACTTCTACACAGAGGAATAATTACGAACTCAAAGAAGGATACCAACGACACGATTTGTCGACACCATGGTCCTTGTTTTAGTCTATTGTAAAACTGAGTATTTGACTACGATTAACAGATAAAATTCTCTCTCTCTCCCGCATAGGTACCAGGCAAAACAACCACACATATGTGCACAAGCGTAAAATCGATTAATTCATAGCACTACCTTGTGTGATACAAGCACTCTAAATCCGTAGTAAAAGCAGGAAGGGCTTAAAGCCAAATATGTTGAAATTATTTATCCAAGAGAGGATAAAGGAGGAAAATAATGTATAGAGATGGGGGGGGGGGAGGAGCAAGCTAAAAACAGATTCACAGAAAAAACGGCCACAATTGACTGGGATGAAATTTTATTCAGACAAAAGTAACAGGTAGGTAGGTGAAAAATGAAACGAGATTTTGGGTTAGAAGAGGGAAGTGAAACTCAGCATTTTGTATGGGGAGAGACAAAAAAAACGACAGATAGCTCACAGGTGAAAATTACCGTTCGTGGAATAGAGAAAGCGAGAGCAGATGGACAAGGTAAGAAGATGTGTGTTGTGTGTAAATATGTTTCTGTACACGTTGTTGTTGTTGCTGACAAATTTAGAAGTGGAGGGATTGGTGGAAAAGGCAGGAACACACTCGAATAAGAAACACGTAAAGTGGAATGAGGCGACAGTGTTTATATGTGGATAACTGATTAAAAGAGAGCAATGTGAAGAAAAGAATTTCGAAGGGGAATGGGGGAGGAATAGCCTTAGCAACAGCCGCCTTCCTTCTTGACAGGGGTCGTAGCACCGATTTTCAAGGTTTGAGCTGGAGCACCAGGTACATTTAGGGTACTTTCCTTAATTTGCGTTGCCATTTTGACAAAAGCTTGATGGACATTTACAGCACTTTTTGCACTGGTTTCCAGGAAAGGAATGTTCAAGCTATCAGCGTAGTTCTATTAAGGGACGAAAACAAGGTTAGGGAAACGTACATGAGGACAAAAACAGAGTAGAGAAATCAAAGCGAAACGTAAACAAGTGGGCTTAAAAAGGTAAAAAAGGAGAACAGAGTAGGAAAAACGTACCTGACCATCTTCGAAAGACACAGCTCGAGCAGAAGACAAATCACACTTATTTCCAACTAAGAGTCGGAGAACATTTGTATTCGCATAAAGATCAATTTCTGATTTCCAGTTTTTAAGATGAGTAAAAGAATCCTAAAAATGAAAAACATCGAATTTTTTAAGTGAACAACAAAGCTATTGATGTCCCCAGAAATTCACTTACCATATCGGTAACATCGTAAACAATTATGATTCCTTGCGCTCCACGATAGTATGAAGAAGTAATGGTTCTGAAACGTTCCTGGCCAGCAGTATCCCAAATTTGCAACTTAATAATTTTTCCATCGAGCTCCAGTGTTCTTATTTTCTACAAAAATTATCGCAAAGGCAGTACTTACAAAATCCACACCAATAGTACTGATATACGTATCCGAAAAGGTATCATCCTAGAAGAAGATATTAGATGACGTCATAACCTTACCGAGAATCGAAGCAAAAGGCAAGATTTTCCCACCCCGGAATCACCAATAAGAAGAAGCTTGAAAAGATAGTCGCTATAATATAAATAAAATTATTTTCAGGTATTCAAAGTCTCCGCAAAAAAAATATTGTTTAAGAATCTTACTAGTCGGGACTCATTTTGATAAACTCGAGTGGGGCGCCAATCAGAACAAAAATTAAAAGTCACATACACCTATCACCAACCACGAGAAAAACACTGTGAGGCTTAAAACACCCAAAATTTCTAAGAGTATGTATATATCTAATATTCAAATAAGCGCAGATTTTACAGATTTTAATAAATTTTATTTCCGAAATACTATAACGTCTGCATTCAGCCGCTTTACCAAATTTTTCAGATAAATTTAGTCAATAAGACTAAATTTAAATCGTTTATTAATTACAATAGTTGCAATCCTCACCTCCGCCCCCCCCCCTTATATGTACTGTTCATTTTCATAATATGTTCATCTAAATTGGATAGTGGTTTTCATAGAATAATTCAATAACTTCAGGAATCTTAAGTTTCAACATTAAGTAAACTTTGCCTAGTTCGATTGGTCTTTTTAAGTTACTCTATGACAACTTAAATAAAAACCATTTATTAAACTCAGGTACTTGTTCTTAATGATACATAAATACTTGAAAATACATGAAATTCAATTAGGTTTTATTTTAGAATATGAAGTACATAAGTCTTCGAATACTGAACTTGTTTAGGTCTCAATATTTCAATTTTATTTATATGGACTGATTTCGACCCAATTTTATTAATTAAGCACTTCTATTTTCAACCTAATAAATTCATCCTTAAAAGCTACCTTAATTTCTTTCTCAATATATATATTTTATCAAATTCTTCCCGGATCACGCTGTTGTAATTGTATAGTTTTATCATTTTTCGTTTTATGCGTTTACATAACTTTATTTCCTTCTGCATAAAAATATTACCCTATCATATTATCATATGGGGATTAAACGTTTCAAAGAGAGATTAATTTTACTTGGTCGATAATTAGAATAATACATAATCGCGGGTATATATTTTGATGGCTATTTGTGGTGGAACAGCGTAACGCATTGATTTAATTCAACTTTACCCGATTATTTTGATAAAGTTTTAAACATTTTTCAACTGTGCTTATTTTCAGTAGACCTGTCTTGTGAGTCAGATAGGTTCTTCACTTTCCCTTTAAGCATCCGAAGTCTTCAACTTATCCTTCAATCCTAATCAATTTGAGCTTTGTTGGCGCCAAACTTAAAACCTGAAATTGGTAACTTGATTCGATTAATTGAGATTTTTTATCTCTACTTGGCATCACAGTACCTCAAGGCATAAAAAGTTAACTTTGTTTCTTTACCCCTCCGCTTCCCCATGCCTAAGTCACCATACACTATACTCTTTCTCAGGGCTACTGTTATCCAATAAAGAATTCACTCACGTCGTAACTCCTCTTCTCATTCTTTATCCTGTAATAAATTATTTCTGACAAAAGTTGGAACACATTCAATCTGCCTCATAAGAACCATTGTCATGCACCTTCGATAGATATCGCGATTAGTTAAACCTGTTACTCCTTTTTATCTACAAATCAGTAGGCTTATAAAGATATAATTGTGAATCTGGATCAAACTAGTACAGCTGAACTTACTTTATTCCGCATAAGTAAAATTTCTAATTCGAAATCAACCGCGTACGTCAGTGTAAACAGATAAAAAGTTAAGTTTGAGTTTCCCAGACTTTATTCCCTTTTTAAAAGTTTCATGGATTTATTCAAATGAACTGAATATGGATTGAATAAATTTATATATTATCTTTTAACGACAAAAAATCAACTTGTGTGTCACAAAGACGTAATGCTCCGATAAAAAATTATAGAAATAATCTATCCATAAAATAAAATAATGATAAAACCTGAATACAAGAAATAACTTCCCTTTAGATTTTCGGAATCGACATCAAACACTAAGTACAGACTTTGGATTATGTTATTGGTTCATTACTTGACTTAAATTAGCCTTTTGGAATAAATCCCAGCTTAACTTAACTTTGTAATGCTCGCTCGAGCAAGATTGTCGGGAAAAAGACTTGACCCCAGACTTTTCCAAACTCGCCATGCAGCCGGTCTTGCCGCAAAAGCTCTCGCTCGATTTTTACGACTCAGATATCTCATTTTTGGTGCTGGTGTAGGAGGAGCTTATACCGTTAACCAGGTACCAATTCCTATACACCGCTAATAAAAGGTTATTAGAAATATGAAGACTGGAAAAATGGCCTCCCAAATTTTGGGTATTTAAAAAATTATCTTCCAAAAGAATCGGATGTTCAGTCACTAATGGATGTCTTAAAGACTGCCTTAGTAGGAATTCCACGGGAAACTCCGGTAGGTACCTGGAGTTACTCCTCTAAGAAATTTTGTAAGCCTGTCCAAGCTGAACAAACCCAGCAAGAAGGGCCCTCGACTGATATTAAGTTCGATGCCCCTGATGGTAATTATATCACCCTGATCTCACCCTTCTCTCTCTCTTCTATATGTAGAACATAAAATAACATCGGAGGAACTTGAAAAGGTAGTATTTTATGTGCGCGTGAATTTTATTTGTAAACTTTTCAGTTGCGTAAAGAGAAAGATCAGACTATTGAGGATCTAAGGAGTGAATTAATTAAGATCAAGGTAGGATTTTCGAGAAGTGCGATTGAAATTTTTTTTCTAGCTTCAATACCAAAAAGCTCTTAACGATCTAAAAACTGAAAATAAAAACCTCAGGAACCAACTCATTCTCAAATACCAGAAGACTTCTCAACCAGATCGAATTAAGGTTTGGTTCTTGTCAATTATGAGTTTTTTTAGAAAACCCTAATTGATATGTACTCTGAAGTTCTTGATGAACTTTCTCAACTAGACACAGATTACAATGTGCAGGTTAGTGTAGTTATATTGCTGTTGAGTTGAATATTGGTGAAAGAATAGTTTCCTCTCTTATTGTTCCATTTAGGATCATTTGCCAAGAGTGGTGGTAGTTGGAGATCAGAGTTCGGGCAAGACGTCCGTGTTGGAAATGATTGCCCAGGCTCGAATATTCCCCAGGGGTTCTGGTGAAATGATGACAAGGTCACCGGTCAAGGTCACTCTTTCTGAAGGCCCCTATCATGTGGCTTCGTTCCGAGATAGTCCAAAGGAGTATGACTTGACTAATGAGGCGGAACTTGCGAGTCTGAGGAATGAAATAGAGGTAAGGACCTGTCTCATTAGTGTTAATTTGACGACCCTTGTGTTGTACTATGACTTTAAGCAAATGAAAACTTGGTTGAAATTCAGTATGTGCTATTATCATAATTCATAAAGTGATATATGTATGTGTGATTATTGAATGAGTTAACACGCATGCTAAAGAGTGTTCCATTTTTGCTCGAAGTTCATCGAGTGATTGACTTGTTGGTAAGCAAGGAGTCAAGGCTATAACAATTCATATCGATTGACATTACCTCTTGACGGTGTATGATTACTCGTCATTTTTTTCGAGCTCAGTTCATTTATATCCAGATCATACAACGTAGTTAATATCATGGAAGACCATCCTGCTTTCTCGGCTTTTATTTTTTTGAGGAAAATAATTGAAATGAAATGGCAGGTCATCGTCATCCAGTTTTAGTTTTTTTGCTGTTGAAGTGGTACAATACTTATTATAAGAAGTTTGGTTATTTTATCAATTGGAAAATGGCTACTTAAGCATTATTATCTGGGAAAATACTCTTTCATTTGTCTTCATGGCTTGAGTTAACATCTAGCCTATTCTGCAGTACTACTTGAGCAAGTTTTTACTCTTGATTCGTTATAGTTTGGCGAAAAAAAGAGTTCAAAAATTGAATCATTTCATACTTCGTCTCCTTTCAGCATCGAATGAAAAGTCTCGTTTCCGATGGAAAGACCATTAGCACCGAAGTGATATCCCTAAGTGTCAAGGGCCCAGGCCTTCAACGTATGGTTCTTGTCGACTTGCCTGGAATAATTTCCACACAAACTACGGGAATGGAACGTGGAACACGGGAAAGTATTCGCAAGTTGGCCAAACAGTACATGGATAATCCTAATGCTATTATTCTATGCATTCAAGGTAAGTCATCTCCTCATATAACAGTCATCACTCTTTGATGCACCAAGTCTTCTTCATAACTCCAAACTTTTTCATGCCAATATTACCCTAGATGGAAGTATTGATGCAGAGCGAAGCAATGTAACTGACCTTGTGACATCGGTTGATCCCCAAGGAAAGAGAACGATATTTGTTCTAACCAAGGTTGATCTTGCGGAAGCTAATCTCTATAACCCTAACAGGGTAAGTCTTTTCATAAAAATTATTAATAATGGTTAAAAATTAAAATCTATCTGAAATTCCACTTGAGCGCGCGATTTCATTTTGAAATCACTACGAAATGTGGCCTCTATAGATCATTTTTTCTTTGATTTTGTTTCAGATGTCGACATATTTTCCTCCATTTTCGGCTCCCTTTAAAAATAAAAGAGAGAGAGGGGGGTGAGGGGTCTTATACGTCATTGCTAGGAAATTTATCGTTTCAAGGCGCTTGACAACTTTCCTTAAGGATTGAATGAGAACAAATACTAAGCTATAATTTATAAAAAAAAAGATGAGACATTTTAAATGTTCGATGTTTATTTATATCAAAGGGTAGGTTTTATGGTAGTTATCAAGGGGTGTGTGATAGACTTACCTCCACGTGGTGCACTCTGGGCAACGTATACTCATATGGCAAAATAGTCTATTAACCGACAGTTGACTTCTGTCTTCAAACTACCATCACCCCCCACTCTATGTCATATTCGACTACTTCCACAGTAATCACCTCACCTTTTTTCTACCTTTGTGTCTGTTTCTTTTACATCTTTGAAACACTCTTCTGTCCCTCCCTCCTCCCAACCTCTCGACTTTTTTCGCTTTGATGTTCCTCCTCCCCTCTGTGAAGCCTGAAGTCAACTAAAGGGCTAATGATATATATCATAGAACCTGCCATTTGATATAAATAAATAAATGATAGTAATCATTAGCCCTTTAGTTAACTCCGGGATTCAGAAAGGGGGAGGGGGGAGGAACTTCAAAGTCACAAAATCTTGAGAAGGGGAACAGAAGAGCAGGCAAGGTAGAGAAAAAGGTAAGGCGAGTACTGTGAAGTGTGGGGGGGGGGGGGGGGGTGTGTATATGACATACAGTCGGGTCATGTTTGTTGGAAGTCAACTGTAAGTATGTATGAGTATACGTTGGCCAGAGTACACCACGTGGAGATAAGTCTATCGCGCACCCCTGAACTGTACGATATGGTGTTTAAAAAAATTTTCACTGATTTTAGTCCCCATTTCTCATCAAGGACAGTTGAGCCAATTATTTCTCAAATGGAAATAGTGAATGAGGATCCCAATTTTTGAAGTTCTGAATATCCTTTTCCCAGAGACTACAAGTCAAATGCTTAAAATCGTGCTTCAGCATTTGTGCACTCGAATTCACATTTCTTACTTTGAGCTTAATCTAGTTGCTACAATGTCTGACAATATGCCCATGCATATCTAAGTGACAACGTTTTCTCCTAAACAGATTCGAGAAATTCTTGAGGGTCGTCTGTTTCCCATGAAGGCTCTGGGTTACTTTGCCGTGGTGACCGGAAAAGGCTCGAAAGACGAGAGTATTGAAGCAATAAAGGAATATGAGGCGGAATTCTTCCGTAAATCCCGTCTTTTTCGAGAGGGAGCTCTCAAATTAGCCCAAATGACTACTGAGAACATGAGCAAAGCCGTATCTGAGCGGTTTTGGAAGATGGTCAAAGACTCTGTGGAACAGGAGGCGGACACTTACAGAGGTGAATAGTTCTAACCACTCGACATTTCATCTTAAATTCTTCTCTTTTTTTTTGTTAATTCTAACCCTTCTGCGCTCTCTTTCACCAAGCCATCCGTTATAACCTGGAGACGGAATGGAAGAACACCTTTCCCCATGTTCGTGAAATGGACCGAGAGGAGTTGTTTGATAAGGGACGCAACGAAATTCTGGATAATCTTGTTAGTCTGAGTACGATTCCCTCAGTGACGTGGGAGAAAAAGATTAAGGAGCGTCTGTGGCAAAAACTTCAGGGCTACGTGTTTGACAATATCCTTGAACCGGCCCAATTGAAGAGTAATCTTGGGTAAGTGATTTGAGTTCGAACCCCCTCCCAATGCGCTTCGTACTATCTCGTTGCTGGAACACTGGTCGTCTAATTAAATAATGTCAACGTATGCTTGAGGCTTTTTTTTTTTGCAATTTTGCTTACTTCCTGGTGTCCAAAAAGATTCTTTCTAATTAGCTAATATGTATTTCCTCTCTCTCTTTATAATGAGGCGTTTCTCTGAGTTTTATATTTAATTAATTAATTTATTTATTTTGCCAAGCCGTGTTATCATTGATGACTTCTTCCATTCCCTCCCCCCCCCCCCCTTAAATCCGCAATTTTTTCCTCACATTTTCTTTTGTGATTATGATTTAGGTAGTTTTTTGGTGGGAAAAAACTTTTGATTGGTCGAATTCTCACTTTTTAAAGCTCTATTTGGAAATACGTACTAAGTCTCATTGAGCATTTTAATGTGGTACGTTCATTTGCTTTTGTAAACGCGAATAATAATAATGTTTGTTTTTAAACTCCAACGATAATTGCAATTTTCACGTGGTCTATAAAACCGACGTCTACTGTCTTGTCTTGAAAGTTCGGCTCCAACTTGGTGATTTTCAAAGTCATCAAAGCCTTATAGCGCTTTCCTTCCTTCTGTTGTAACTTCTGTCTCGGTGTTTGAATTGACATCCTAGAGACGTCTTTTCCTTGAAGTTTTCTCTGCCTTTTACGCCTGTGCATACTCTAATTCTTCTCACGTTCTTACGAAGACAAAAAAGTCAGACTCTTTGAGGGGCAGTCTCCCAATTCCACTTTCCTTCTCGTTGCACCCCTTTTCACCTCCAGAATCGGATTTTTACTACTTCCTGCCTATCGATTAGACTAACGAATGGGAAAATGTGTGAGAGTTGATCCTAATTACTGGGGTTTTCCGAAAGTCCGCCCACTTGAATAAGCGCCTACTGGCCTTTATGGAGGTTTAACAACCCGTTGACTCTAGAAACACGTAGACATAACTGAAATTGAAAATGACGAAAGCTAGGAACAAGCTATGCTACTTTCGCTGTTTGCTTCAACTAGTTCCTACCAAACATTTGTGGATGTGGTGCTTCGTGACTGGTCGCAGCATGAGTTGCCCCAACTTTGTGTTCAAGTGGGCTGGGAAGTGCTCTACGACGAATTGGAACGCGCTGCAAAGGAAGCGGAGAACTCGCGTGGCTACGATCACATCTTTGACAAAGTCAAAAAGGAGGTCATTTCTCAAACAAGAAATCGACATCAATGGGACTCCAAGGCTATTTCACGATTGGTATGTGTTGTCATTGTTTTTTTTTCTTGTACGACCAAGGTGATTGGTCCTTTTGTGTGTGTGTGTGTGTGTGCAGCTTTGCAAATAACCTCTCTCTCTCTCTCAGTGAGTAGGAGAATCAGAAGTGGAAATTCGATGAGTGATTTGGTGAAAGTGGGGTTGAAGAGTGTAAAATAGTGTCGATGGGGGGGGGGTTCCAATGAAGGTCTGCAAGCGCACGGAGGTATATTCAATCCAATTCGTAGCAACATGTTCCAGTATCTTGAGTACTGCCTGGACATGCTGTGCTCTCACCAGCTTCATTGTCAGTGTTGTGCAGCTGTAGATATTATTATTATTATTAAATCTATGTTAACTCCTGGGGTTTCAACAGAGTTTCCTGGAGGCAAAGAAAGCTTATCATTTAATTCTTCAATACCCGAATTATTTATTTGAAAACTGTGTCCAACTGCACTCACAGCTCGTCTCACAGCAGTAAATTGATGCCGTCGAGGTGATGAGTTTTGGTGGTGTATCTCAGGCGAAGGCTATCGACACGCATTGAACGAACATGTTCCAAGCGGCAATAGAAGCGCCTTCTGTGGTAGGAGTCTACTACCAATTGAGATTATTTTGAAAGAGGACCGCTCACGGTCCTAAGGGGCGCGTTAAAGGATTAATACTGACTCTTCACTTCTTGCTCAATTCGCTTCAACATCGGCATTTTCACGATCTTTCCGCCCACTTTCCCCAAGGCAATTGGTTGTTGGATAAAAGTGTGGAAATGCTGCAATCAAGAATTAAGTAGAATGAAAGGACAAAAAACAATTTTCTTGTATTTAAGAAGATACTTTCATCATCATTATCATCATATTTTTGCCTTTTCGTGTTATTGAATTAATATAGAGAGTGATCCAGGGCACAACGCTGGAGGATCACACGGTGCATACCAAGGCGCAGTGGGATGCAGCGGTGAATTTCCTTGAGGGCTCCCTCCACTCGCGTATTAAAGAGGGTTCGTCTCCTCCCACCTCATTGTCCTATGTTGATGATGATCTTTTTTTTTTGTTTGACGTGGCTAACTTCTTATCCCTTCCCCATCAAAACCCAATTTGTAGTGAACCAACTCATTTTCGATTTGCGCGGACCTGGCCTCCTCTCAAGGTGGGTGCATTGGACCAATCAAACTGATGAACAGCGCAAACGGATTGCCACAATTGACGAAATTCTTCCCATTCTTGCCTCCCAGCAGGTATATTTCCTCCTACATTATTATAAAATATTTCCCTCCATTCTCCATCGATAGCGAAGTTCTTGTTCGGATGCAAAAAAAAGACGTGTATCATGTGGTCTCAGCAGAGGTAGCAGGTGTGTAGTGCTCAATATGGGGCTTAATGCGTTAATACTTTAACCATCTCTCTGTTTTTTATTAAAATTTTGTATCAATCGAGTAGCTTTTTCTCTACTTGTTCTATTTTTTTTTCTTGGTTTTATTTTTCCTTTCAGCGACCGAGCATAGAGATGTCTAATGACGACGTCACTACTGTCCGTAGGAACCTTCAAGCCAAGCGGTTTGCTGTTTCAAATAAGTTTGTGAGTTATGCGCGTCTATCGCCAACACACGCAGGCACGCACGCATGTATATACCTTTTTTATCTTCGCATAGATTCGCAAAACCTACGAGCCCCTAATGAAACAAGCCAACCTTACCCAAGCTCTCAGTGTGTGTCAGTACTGTCGCAAGTGCTTCTACTTCTATCAACAGGGCTTCATGGCACTGTTGAGTGAAGAGGAAGGAGGTTACCAACCCAACACTGGTGATAGAGGCATTTCTGAATCCCCTACTTCCTCACAACGCTCCAATGGCGAAGCTACTGCCTCCAGGGGTCCTGTGCGAGGTTCTGGAAAAGCGGCCCATGAAGACGCGAGCCATTCACATGATAGCGGTGAAGATGACGGCGAAAGAGGCGGCAGGCATGGTGATGGTATTGGAAGTCGGTCGGGAGTGAACACAGGAGAACGTAACTCGAATTCTGGGTCGGCAGGAGGGGACTATATTGATTGTCGTGATGTGGTACTCTTCTCAAGAATTCTACGCATGATTGAGGCCTCGAGTAACTCGCTTAGACAACAATTAGTCAATAACGAAAGTAGGTCTCTAGTAATGTCTTAAAATGCTCTCAGTTTACTTGCCTGATCTAGTCTTTAGTTCATAGCTGACTTCTTAGCTAAAATGTGATTGCTTTACGCGTAAGGTACTAATCTAAATCAGACGTCATTTAAAATCTTCGATATTAACGCGGTAATAATTGTTGTTACGTATTTGTTCTCCTATTTATTCGTTTTTTTTTCCTGACTGTGTAGTTCGTCGAATGGAACAGCAAGTGAAGGTTGTGCTGAACGAAATCTCCGAGGATCCTATTCGTCTTGGAATTCTTCTCACTGGCAAGCGCGTTCAATTAGCTGAAGATTTAAGTATGTCTATCTCTGTATCCCCACGATTAATTATAAAACTGCATAATTTGGCACCTCTTCAGTGTGGAGACAGCTCTCTACAACTTCCCTTTTGTCATTTATTGAAGCAATGAGTATTTTTTGTCTCAATGAAAAGTAAGGAGGAAGACTTGCCTCTTAAACGATGGCTTATCTATCATTAAAATGCATTTTCTTTTTTCCGGACTTGAATCAGTGATTCCTGATTGGCTGTGCCTGGTTAGCCAATAATTGCGATGACTATGGGTTTTGTAACTCATTGGCTATTATTCAATAGCTATTTTATCATCCTCAGCGCGAAATACGTAAAATTTTTTATACTGAAATCGGTTGAGATTCAAGCAACTAGTTAAGTTGTGGAGACCAGAATGATGTGACGTTAGCGTATTAAAGAGAAGTACTTTCAAAAAAATTCAAGTGCTTTGATTGTTGTTGTCAAATAACTGTCTTTGATGCTCTGTTCTTATTAACTAGGTTCTTTATTAAACAAGAGATGGTTATTGAGAGCAATCACTTGATATCTGAAACTGTGATTTCTAATAATGTTAGATCAGAGATTTAAATGGACTGGGGATTTATACTTCCTCACAAAACAGTTCGATAAAATGTTATCGCATGGAATGAAATTGAAAGAAAAGAAGGCAATTAGTAAAATTTCATGTTTCTCATTTTTATACGCCTTGTTTCCTCTTTTTAGAACGAACACGACATATTCAAGAGAAGTTGGAGGAATTTATAGCCGCTCTTAACAGTAGCGATTGAGATGGAGAGAGGTTGGGGACGAAGTCCTCTGTTTGAGGAGGAATTTATGATGCTACTGAAATGATATTAGTAATATGCATAATGCATTGTACCTTGTCGTTTTCTTGAATTCCTTTTTTTCATTACTTCCTATGTAGCTGTAATGCATATGTTTCTCTGAGCAAATATAATGCAGTGATGACAACTTGCTATTTTTAACTTATAATCGGAGAATTTAATTGCCAGAATGCATTTATGCCTTGTGTTATTGTACATACTCCTATGGTTGATTAGTTCCTATTCACTTGAACTATTGGCCGGTTGTGAGGTTGTAATGTGGCTGTTCAATTAAAAGATTTCGCTAATGACTGCCAGTGGATCGACCCCTTCGGCTGAGCGGGTAACCAAGGCAACAAAGATAGGGGGAGAGACAGAGGATTCAATTTGGAAGCATGTGCCTTCATTGAATGTGTAAATACTGCGTCGGAAGCGAGGTCTAATTAAGTTTTTAATGACGAGCATTTTGTAGATAAGGGGATGTAGAATGAGAGAGGGTAACGGCTTAGCGTCCAGGAGAGTGAGAAGAAGCGACCATCGTGATACAATGGGCACCACTCTCTACTGTGTCTTGGCAGGTTTGTTGAGTATAACCGGCGTTCCACACTTCATCCTTACTACCATAATTGGCTTACGTGTTGACAAGTGCTAGCTTACCTGCTGAAGGTCTGCAATTTTATCATTATCTGTTATCTACCTTTGTCCTCTTCTACTTCGCCGTAAAAGTAACTTTTTCAACTTAGTCAAATGTAAATGACATTTCATTGCCTAAGTGAGATAAATTTGAAGGAAATAGTTTTAAAGTTGGTAGACTATAGATCACCTTCACGAGCACTTTGGCTGCTTGCAAATGAAATCCTTGATTATTCAAAGTAATGAGATTAAAATAAGTCAATTGATAATGTAAATTAGGATTTGCATTATAAGTAAAGAGAGCTTAGTGTTTTTGATTATAGTGAGTTGAGAATACCTACCAGAAGTGATCAGTTTCCAGAACCAAGGATCATTAAACAGCTAGGAAGAATCTGTCAAGATTCGATATAAATTTAATTTGAAAGTGAATTTTTTCTCTTCACCATGCTCAACAGTTATGCTAAAAATTTACACAGGCTTACCGACTTGAATATTTCCCTTCAAGAAAAAAATCTTTCTTGGCAATTCTAAATATAATGAGTATCCGTTGCCATACCTTCAAGTTTCATACAATTAATAGTATTTAACAATACGTGGATTTCATTTTTATGTGAAAAATACAACTTTGGAAGATGGATCTTGCCTATGCGCCGTCCAAGATTCAATTCTCGTGAACCAAAGGAATAATCAATATTTACATTCTGCGAACACGTGTAATTGACGACGAGGAATTTTAATGTGCTTTTATATTCACTACCCTCAATTGTTTGACACTGTCCTAGTTATTCGAGCTTCTTAAATTTTTTTCGTCTAAAATGTCTCCTCTAACTGTGGACAAGATTCACATCAGAAATTTCCAGGCTTATTATGATGACACAACCAAGACAGATACCAAGGAAACGGATGAAATGCTCTACTATAAGACCCAGAACTTCTATTGTAAAGTTGGAATTGAATTGCCAACTTGTACAGCAGACAGAGACTGGTCAATAGGATTGGTACAAGCCTGCGACTACATGCATCTGGAGAATAATTATGGAGGCTTAGGAAAGTCTCTCTGGGAATTCCATCCTCTGAAATCTGGTCTACGTCAATTCATCAATGATAGTGATGGTAGACAGTACCCGTTCTACAGTATCAGTCAAAGCCTCTATAACATTAAAAAGGGTAACGTAAAACGGGCCCTCGTGAATCTTCAAATCAAGGACTACTTTCACCCGTCTGTAGTATGGACCCTACCCTATTCAAGAGGTGTTCATTTGACGGAGATTGGAAGACATCAGAGGTTTTACATCTGGTTGGTAGCCATTAAACACGGAAGAAAGGCCTGTGGACAGGAAGATGAAGTTCACATATTACAAAAACTTCGGTGGGAATATGATCTTCACATGGAAATCGATCCTTACATGCCGGTTGGTCAGAAGGTTAGGAGGATCTACGATACACAAGCAGATTCCATCGCAATGTGTGATTTTAATCCAAGTCAGAAACTGCCAATAGAGGCAACTCAAGCTCCACATTGTAATGCGGCTCAGTCGCTGATTTGGTATCCAAGAGATCAGACGCGGCATTCTAGAATCCTAGTACCTCCGAAACAGATCATTGTACCTTGGGAAAAATGGGTTTCAGATATGCTAGGTCCATCTGCACGTGTAAGAAAGCCTGTCGATATAGCAGAAGTTGCTCACCCTATGATTTTTATATAAATTTGACATAAATATTCTCATTATATAAAACCTTTTATCTGGAGGGAAAGATGGTTATAGAATTGGCACTTCATATTTATATGAGTAAGCAAGAATTCTTATAGTGAAAGGCATTTGATTGGTTAAGCAAAGCAGACCGTTTGTCTGAAGGATCCGGCTAGATAAGTGCAATAAAGAATAGTGAACTATATTAACCGGAGGCATAGCATTTAAATTATGCACAAATATGTGGCGAACCAACGTCGTAAACATTAAGAAACTTTACAATAACAATAATTGGCCATACTATAGCACTGTTCTGTACAGTATAAATTCTCAGACGATAAGAGGAATATATTTCAATTTAATTAATAATTAAGGATGCTCGAAGGTTAACTTAAAACAATTATTTTGTCATATGTATAACAAATTTTCATCATGTCATATAACGAAACATTTATGATTAAATTCACTATATATTTACCAAATTGTAATCTTAAAAAGAAGAAGATTAGTTTTCTTTCATATTCATTAGCATTTAAAATGACCCTGGATGAGATTTAACAAATAAATAATAATTAGGTTATTCTGCTTACAAAATAAGAGCAATTGTTCGAAATTAAACTTGTCTAAAGTCTTGATTTAAATAATTATAAATCGATTTAAATATTTATTTATTAAAAAATGATTTTTCTCTAGTTTCCTAATGACCTTATCAAGTGTTTGTTGCCATAGGTGGCTTAGTTCCATTAAATACTGCACAATTCATATTTTCTTTTATAAATCATTGTAATATAGATTAGTAAAATAATGAAACCAACGCCCAAAAAGCATTTGAATCATGCACCAAAATCGACATTTAACGTTTATACGTCTGAGGGTGATGTTTATTATCGAAGGCGGCGATTTGTTAGCGCCATTAAGGCCTATACTCTAGTCTGGATATTAATGAGTTAACTTCAAATGTTTAGGCTCTTCAAATAAGACCGGACTCTGTGAAGTGTTTGGTAAAAAGATCGAAATGCTTCATGCATATTGCAAGATATTGCGAATGTATGGATGATATTAGAAGGGCTTTAGAATTGGAACCTAAATATCACGAAGTATCTAAATAATTATTCAATAAATATTTTAGTCTTTACTACAAATGGCAGAATTTTTGTATCGGACTTCTGACTTTGAGGGTGCGCTTGTATATTTTCATCGTGGAAAGCAAATTCATCCAAATTCACGCGCTTTTGGACTTGGTGTTGTAAAATCAGAGGACGCAATCAATACACTTATTGGAGGTAGTTGCTTAAAATTTTGATGTAAATGAAACACGATGGACGGCAAAATGCCGCTTTACGACAGCAAAAGTATTAAAATATAATAATTAAATTTGCTATAAATATATATTTGAACAAAATTTTCATTATTTAGGCCATTTAAGGTCAAGATTTAATTCCTTTTATGGAACCATTCAAGATAACTCCACAGTGAGTCAAAATATTGATTTTTCAATTATTTACTCACAATTATTATTATCGTAGCATTTAGAAATACAAACAAATGAATCATCCTCTCAGGCTCAAGATAGTTCACCAGAAACCGCGAAGAATTTCAAATACCCGAAATCTCTGATGGGACAATCGTTTGCTTCTGTTCGGCATTTTACTAAGTTAGCTCAAGAGGAAGGTTCGCATTTATTCTCCTCTAATTTCAATTTTAATTTTTAGGAATTTTGAAAATATTTTAAAATTCAATTCATATTTTTGCAGCTATTGTAAACCGAGTGGAATTTTCTTTTCACGTGTTAGTTTGCATATCGGTAGAATTCAGTTTTATAAAATTAACGGAAGCTAGTCATAGAATATTTTGTTTAAATAATGTCCAATATATAATTCTTAGTGGATGTCCATATTTGAAATGCCATTTCTACCTTTATATTTACAGATCAATTTTTCATTTGTCTGCTTGTATATTTTCATTATATAATTTGTTCTAAATAACCACAGGCCATTATGAAAAATACTTGAAGAATTCAAAAGAAATTCGAGAATTATTAAATGAAATCTATCAATATCTGGAGGGAAGATCGGAGTTTTGGCAACAGCAGGATGCTACTCTCGTCAACCCCAAAAAGAGATGTGAAAGGAAGGCTAAACGGAAGACAGATTTGACCGATCAGCTTGATATCCTTCAGAGAATTGCTCAATTACTACAAGACATTAGTGACGGTAAAGTTGTCAATTGGTACTTTGATTAACCCCCCGACCTCTTGGCTTTATTGTCTGCTTCATAGGTGTAGCGCATTGCTACACTAGTAAAGCCTTGACTGACTTAGAAATCTCTGTGGCAGATTTTCCTATATCTATCTAGACTCCCAGAACTAGCTAAGCTTTAGCTTAGCTGAAGAAGAACCAGACGTATTGCACAGAACACGTTTATCCAGGAAGTATACTGTGGTAAAAGTGTACACGCCGTAAGGTTAATCATAATCAAAATGGGAGATTCACTTAGACAAACTAAGGCTTCTGATTAGCCATCAGTTGTGCGCGGATGAAGTTTCCCACAAAAGCCGCAAAGACATTTATTTGCGCTGGATCTTGCAAGAATTTTACGGCTTTTTTAATCATAAAGGGGGTAATAAGAAGGTCAAACTTGTTGGTCGCGTCATATAAATTTTTAAGAATCGACGATTTTGAATTCAATATGAATACAAGGCTATTTGACCTTGCTGGCTTTAAGTTTATTCACAAAAACAAAGATTATAGCTGTTATAATTATTTTCCTGTTAAAAAGTGTCTATATTGTTTGCTAGACTACTGCCAATAGGCAACATAGTAGCGAATATTTTGAATGGTGAAGCAAAATCAAGTCTTTTCAGCGTAATTGACAAAATGTTTATTAATATCTAGTGTATTATAGGGATCCTATAATTTATTAGAAAGGATTCTTGTAATAAATAGGCATATAGTATGATGAATTCGACAATTTTCATAAGACTATACCATATTTATTGCATGTTATTAAACAACTTGCCAAGAAGTCTCTATTTTTTACTTTTTCGCTATTATTTGCCGGTTTCTATGGCTTTAAATCACTATTTTTAATATAGTTCAGTGCGAAAGTGATTACGAAAAAGCACTATGCTTATGCTCGGCTCTTCGCAATGACTTAAAACAATTGAATTCCGATTTTCCGGAATTTAACGAAATATTGGCCGATCTCAATGCATTTGAAGGTGTCGCATACTTCCATTTGCGCAATTTCGAGGAAGCTCAAAAGGCCTTCAATAACCAACTAAAAATTTGCGAGAGTTCAAACTTACAGAACCATCTACCCAGGTGCCTAGAGAATTTGGCTAGAACTTACACAAAACTGCAAAATTTTCGGACTGCAAAAGATATGTGGGTTTACAAGTCTACAAAAGCCTGCAAAATTGTTGAAAGTCAAGCTAAGGTGTTTGTTAACTTACATTCATGTTTTAGATGGTTAGAACGCTTCAAATACGACAGCAATAACCAGGACAAAATGTGGATCCAATTTGAAATTGCCTTCTGTTGTTTCGAGCTTTGTGAATACGAAGAAGCAATTGAAAGGGGTTTTGCTGTAAAGCGTCTAGCTGAAATAACCTTCAGTATGAACTGGGAGTTGAAGGCCTCTATTGTCATTGCACAGTCTAACTTGGCCTTGAAAAATCTTTGTGAAGCTCAAATCTACTTACAGAGTGCTCAGTACGCGGCTTATGTAAGTTCTTGCAAATCCGTTTTGTGACATAGTAATCAAAATGAAATTGCTCTGTTAGACTTCGCATTTTTTGGTTGTTGTTCTGATTTAGCACAAAGCGAAAATTGCTCACATTTTGACTTAGATAAGGGCTTTATTTTTTAGATTTTGAATCAACACGATTTGGAGCCTTTATTAGCTAAAGCAATTGATCTTATCGATGAGGAGACGGACAAAGCTAATTATGGGGTTGTGAAAGAGAAGTGCAGACTCTTGTGTAGGTTTAAACAACATCTTTTTGACTCGAGAATATTACGGTTTTTTTGGAATTTAGCGTTTATTTGTACTAAAAATTTAAAAAATTTTATAAATCTAATAAATTTGAAAGTGCTTAGATTTTATTTATTCACTTTATAATTCATTTGAATTAGAATCTAATTTCCCATTTCCAATATAAATTTCAGCAGATGCACAAATTCCAAATTTCGAAAGTAAGTTATCATTGTACACGTCACATTACTTTGGTTCAAAGATGGTGCTTTTAATTATGTTGGCATGATTAAATTGTAGCCTCTAGAATGAGGGCAAAGACATTTAAATTTTTTGTGCATAATTTTAGATTCCCCAGACATTTCAAATGATGATTCAAGTAAGTATTGCAAACTTTTTAAAGAAAAAAAACGAAATTTACAACCTGAAGCACTAAACGTGTAGTCTTATTGCTGGAATATTTACAAGCAGCAATATTTCCTTAACTAACAAGTTAAGGTATTTTTCTACTTAAGTGTATTCAGTCCTATATTCTAAATCGGTTATTATTTTTGTTTAGAGAGCATAGACGATTTTACTGAAATAGCAGGTACGTGTCTATACATTCTTGCTTATTTTCAATACTGGTTGCAATCTCCTGTTAGCAGTTACAGGTAATAAAAACAATTAGAGTAAGAAGTCGGTATCTTATAGTTTTTTTTCACAATTTCAGATTTTCCCGATACCTTGAGTAAGTCAAACTCTGAATATGATTCTATCCATCTTGCGATATATTTCCACTGAAAAGTAACCCAATTAATTTAACATTTGAAACTTTTATTGTCCACTAAAATGAAACACATGGCAGAGCTTCTTCCCTTTTTAGTCAAACATTGAACTCGATTAATTTCGGCAATTCACACAAGTATGTTCTCCCGATTAAATTAATATAAATTTGTCTTAATGACATTATTAAGTGTTGTTCACTTTCAGAACGGATCAAGCGCAACTCGAAGATGAACCATTAAATTACCATTTCTCACAATTATCTGCATTTACCGATTCATGTAATCTCAGGAGTTGATTGCAATCATTTTAGAATTTTGCACGATCAATATTGTGGAAACGGTTGTAGATTATTATTATTATTATTAATTTAAATAAATAAGAAATAATTGCCATCTTCTAAAGCTTCATTTTAATCAGTATCTCTTAGCCTCTTAGTCTCAGCTAGAAGAAAAGTGTCTTATTTATTTATTTATTTGAATCAAATGGCAGGCGTTTTAATGATTATCATTAGCCCTTTAGTTGACTTCAGGCTTCACCGGGGGAAGGAACATCGAAGTGAACAAAGTTGAGAAGGGGGGACAGAAGAGTGTTTCAAAGACGAAGGTAGAAAAGGTAGAAAAAGGGTGAGGTGAGTACTGTGGAAGTAGTCGAATATGGCATACAATGGGGGGATGGTAGTTTGAGGTCAGAAGTCAACTGCCGTATGAGTATACGTTGCCCAGGGTGCACCACATGGACAGTAAAGTGTTTTGAGGGCTAAGACAGGCAGGAAAAATGGCCCCACTCCCCCAGTTCACAACACATAATTAAATACTAACTGCATGTGATAAATCTTTAATAATGAGTAGGCTTAAACATTTGAATAACAAAATCATTAAATGCATTTTGAAGGCATGGTAAACACCAGCATATTTGTTCATGTAAGCAGTACTTGAAATAAATTTCAATTTTTTGTAAAAGTTATTGTTGTTGTAGCTGGCTTCTTTGTTCTTTTTATCTGACTTAACAACAAGGGGTGTTGCCATTAACGCTTTTTCGAGAAACCCCTAGACGATGGATTTTCTAATGACTAGGCAATAATGATTACTTACAATAGACCAAGAGAATTTGGAAAATGTTCGAACCAGAATGAATGGGCATTTTATAATGAGAAAAATATTATCTACCAATTACTAAGACAACACCAGCAGCCATTTCTTTGGCATAACATTAACATTCCTGAACTCAGTAAAATAAAAACAATATTCAATCATAAAAACGCAAAGAAATACAATAAAGACGAAATTCTTTAACGCCTTTTTTTTGCAGGATCGATCAGAATGAAAAGAAAAGAAATTAAATTGTTAACTGAGGTGATTTTATACCACTTGATTAAGGATTAGCAGGAATACGTTAAAATAGACTCAGAATTTATGTCTTCAAAATTTTTTGTTATCAAATATGGGGGTTTGGTGAGTGGATACCTTTTAGTTTAACCAATACTGCGAAGAAAGAAAAGAAAAGAAAAAATAGATGAAAAAAATTAGGAAAGTAAAATTTTGGGAATCAGTCTAGAATGTTAATATTTCCAAATAAATCTAGTCTATCAACTTTAAAAGACTGGTTGGTGGCACATCACTCTTTCTTGGGCCTAATTAGTTAAAGTTGAGATTTGAGCTAGTGGGAATTATTCCAACTTACGTATTGACGATTAATTCAGAGGATTTTAATGACAACTGATTTGTGTGCGCTTAATTGGGTTTATAAATATGCTATAGCTGATATGCTAAATCACACTTGTAATGTGACAACTTTTCACCTGATGCTATTTCCTCTTGATAGCTTAATAATATAACGCTCTCCCACTTATTATCGTTGCTCAAATGCACATCATTTCTCCTTCACCAACCACCAATGAACTCAAATCAGACTTCGACGTGATTGGCTCATTCACATACTAAACATTTGAGGCGATTACGTAAGATCATCACTTTGCAGACTCATACCTTTATGCGATGTGCTTTAGGGCCCTATTCTCTGTAAGCCCCCTTTTCATATTATTAAAATTAAACAACTTTTTTTTGTTTACTTATTTGCGGATGACTAATTCCATTTTAATTTGTTTGGTTTTATATGATCAAATTAAATACATGTTGACGTCTTTATTTAAACAAGTAACGTTTGAATGTAGAATGAATGAAGAGTTATGTATATACTGTTTATTTTACACCATTTTGAAATATTTTAAGTCAACGTATATGATTATATGAAACAAATTTCTTTTTATTTGCGTTGCAAAAGAGGATATCACTGTTCATAAAGTTTGTTTGACATCAATCAGCCCTTATGATTTTCAAGTTTTGCAAAACTCATGACTCTGTTAAGAAATGTTTTATGAACTGTTATAAGTGTATGACATTATCTAGTTCTTTACTATATTTGTGTAGATGACCCAAATTTAATATTTTGAAGGCAGCACATCATTACTTAAAGTGACTGCTTATTGGTTGTCATGCCAGTTGATAGTCCTAACGTCAAGAGAGCATTTATCTTCATTTTGAATATTGTGGTTATTATAATTATCAAGGCGACTGTTGTAATGAAATAACAACAAACGCAAAAAAAGTTTCGGCGGCACAACGGAAGCGATCTTGTTACGCGATATTCACAGGATCAACTATCGCTAAGCAAAGGATTGTATTACATTCCAAAGAAAATTACAACAACATGGTTGTGATGGAGCGTTTTTAGTCCTGTCATTTCTCACAGAGGACTTTTCACCTATGAAAAAGCTTCTTTTTGAAATTGAAGAAATTGAAATATCTAGCATTATATCATCCCTGACGTAGAAGCCAAAATAACTTCTTTGATCTGAGTTTGTTGATTTCGGTTTTATCGGCCTTTTAAACTACCTCTTGTGAATTACATTGCCAAAAAAATTTAAGAATTTAAAGAAAAAGCCAATGAAGTCATTGAGCCACTAAGGCATTGTTTCAGCTTAATCGGAAATCGATAAGAAATTCACTGAGGACTTCACACCTGTAAATAATTGACGGCAAGTTAATCAAATTTAAACCCAAGATTTCTCTGTTTCCTTGACACAATTTACCCCCCCCCCCCCCCCATTTTGGAGATGATGACAAATAAATGAAGTACTTAAAGCAACCGTTTATTACGTCTTGAACTTGTTGAAATAAACCGTTGTTTTTTATTTAAATTTACTAGTGTTTGTGCCGATGTATTTCAAGCAAGAATTCTAAGAATAAGCGGCTAGGATACGGCTACCATCGGGGATGTTTTCGAGCGTTGCTTGATCAGGTGCCGTATTTACGACGACCTCCTGGTCCATCTTTCGTGGAAGCCTATTAATTTTGATATTTTTCGAGTCTCAATTTGTTCCCCTTCCTCCATACATATGCTCGAAACATCCACACACACACACACCCACACTCAAAGCTATATCAAGCTGCGATTCGCCTTCAAAGCTACTAATGGCAGCTTACTCCGAAGCATTTCGTATTGTGTGTGGCTGTGAATCCCCTCAAAACACCTAACTTTGATGTAATATTACTACTTTTGTCATTTCTTTTTTTTGTACTTATACGTATATATATTTATATAGTTCTTTTTATATTGCTACGCCTGAAGTTATTATTCCTATTACGTGGTTGTAGGGTTAAATTAAATCAATTTTCTTCACTCGATTGAACAAATTAAAAGAACCAAAAACAGAAGTTTCAAGGTTCAAATATATCGAAAATGTGCTCACTTATTTAATTAAAGTTTAGTGTCGTCCCACAAGAGTTTAATTAGCCCTTTGATGCCCGAATTATTTGTTCGAGAAATGTACCCAATCGTACTCACGTGTGTCTCACGGCGGACTTATGCCACCAATGTGACGAGTTTCGGTGGTATCAGGCGAAGGCTATGGACACGTATTGAATATATTCCAAACAAAAACAAAACAATGGGCTGAATTGCGAAATCTGTGAACATGTAATTACAGGAGAATTTATATCTCTAATCATAAAACGGTTAGCACAATTGTTATCCGATTGTCTTAAGAATGTTTCTCTAAGGAGAACCGACTCTACAATCCTCAAAATAGTATAGGGATGTACACAAACTTTAAAAAATCGATATTCAAATTTTATCTTTAACTCCATTTCATAAATTGAATATTTAAAGCACTGCAACTTTTTGAACAAAATTATGTATCTTATTACCTAAATGGGTTTAACTCCCACTACCACCAGTTTTGAACAGAGGATCAACATTCTGGAGGTTATCCGTCATTAAGTCCACTTCTCCTACATCTCTGATTTTCGTATTTGGTCATTTCGATAGGCACCAAAGTGTCTAGAGCATACTCGGGCATGCCAGAAAACAGGTGCTCATGGTTGGTAGGTGATTACTCCTAAATTTCACCAATAGCGAAGCTTTTCAAGATGTGGACATTCCATTTGAGGAAACCGACTATGTTACTTGCTATATTATTGGCAGTTTGTCATGGTGGTGTTCTAAATTGGCATACTAATAAGTTTCAGGTAAGAGAATCCATAATATGGCATACTTTAAGAATGTGTCGTTTATAATCTTAGCCTCCAATATCAACGTCAAGTAGGCTTCAAATAAAGGCTTATTAAAATCCAATTTATTTCAATCGAACCAAAGGTATGTGAGTCATTCACTTTTGTATCCTATGGAGGATCAATTTCCCGGGGTTGACCACGAATTTGCTTAAGCAAGCGCATTTAATACTCACTGTCCGAGATTGAGCACTAATGACTGATTTAGGCGAATATGCGACGAAATTTTGATACATTAAGTTCAAATCAGTCTAGGCACTAATTGAATTTATATTAAAATTTCTTTCTATCCATTAGCTTTCAAAGATAACTAAGCAGAAAAAATTTCACACAAGCTCAGGGCTAAGGAAAATCGATCAAATGCCAACAGTCTATCATACCTATATGTTCCGCTAGAGTTCACTCTAATTTCTAAAACTTCACCTCAAGGGAATTCGCGCAAGGGTAGTGAAAACCACCCAAGCAAATCACTAAACAATCACTAACGACTTCTTGTATTCAAATTCCGCTCTTTTTGTGTTATTTAAAAGGCATGATTGGTTAAACCAAACCGTGTTAAAATATCACTCCTAGTACTGAAATTAAATAAAGAATATGGGATAACTCATGTAAATAATGATAATAATAATAAAAGAATTTGAATTTTAAGAAAAGTTGAGTGCGTATGCACGACCACCTAAGTTATTCTTCTCCTCACCTTAAAATGAGTGAATATGAGGTTTAGATCGGCAAAAAAGGATTCACATCACTTCTAATTTATATTCAGATTTGCCTCAATCTTTATGTGATTCCTCAAAATTCTCCAAATTGTCATTCATCTATTAAATCGACGAACTTGCTATTTGACAGTGGAATGTACTTGATTTGGAGCACAACAGAGTCAGATTTAAGCAAAATTTCGAAGTTTTTAATATGATAATTAATACGTAAGAAGACGAAATTCAGGTTAATTTTCTTGATATGGGGACACACATTAAGTTGAATTGCTTCGGATAATTTAGTGGTTAGCATGTCCTATCGATTATTCCTGCCTTAAAATCGATTGATATTCAAGTTTATTGAAATTCCAACTAAATAAGTAAATGCGGAACAAAATTATCTAGAAAGTATACCCTTCATTATACTTTAATTTATTATGTTATCTACAGAAGATATAAATTAGAAACGACAGTGACTTCAATTTTGATATGTTTTTAAAAAGAACTGACTATTATCTTCTCTAATATACATGAAAGGTCATTTATTACCTATTGGGCAATATGTTGGCCTTTGAGCATTCACGAATTTCACTGCAACAAGTGAAGAAATAGACTCAGAGATCGAGTAGATTGAAAACTTCATTTAAGAATTCTCAATCTCTTTTTTCTAACTCCAACATTAGTGACCCCAAGTAGGTTAGATGTAGATTGAAAACGCTGCTGTGTCAAAACAAATCACGCGCCAAACTGGTGCCTAGTGCGCTCATTGGCTCGGCTCTCCAACTAATCATTGATCTCTACCACTCCCCTTCTCGCATCATTTGCAATCTTTACTTTTTAAAACCATATGTCCATAGACTTCGTGTCCATCCATGCTTACTTAACTATTCCATACGGTTTGTCTTAATAAAGGTACATTTTGACAAGATATCGATTAAAGCTAGAAATATTGATTTTAGTCAGACTTTGACTCCCTGCTGATTTAAATGAAATGCCATTAATCCACGCGTACACAGTACTGTCTCCTGCACTTTCTGGGAGGCTGACGATTTCACGTGGCATGTGATTCCTAGGGCTCGTCTCTTGAAAAATCACTTGACAATCTGCTCGCCTCATATGGGTAGGATTTTATTGCCTAGTTCAAACTTGATTGTGAATGATGCAAAAGAATGTGACATAATCTTTAGTTCTCACGACAGTGTGTCAATTTACTAAAGGATTTACAGACGCTTTCTTGACTCGATGTGTGTGATCGCTGTGAATTCGCATACCAACCTAACATTAGGTTAATTTGAAATCACTTTCTTATAAGGGGCCATTTAGGTATTTTGAGTGCTTATTATTAGTAAAAAGAATACTTATGCATTAGTCATTAGAAGAAATGCCAATTTCAACGACATTAAGCGTAATTATCACAAGGGAAATCTTATTTAGCAGAATTTCAAGGTACTTAACAAGTTTTGCTATTTATGTGCGAAGAATAGCGTGCCTACATGTACCATTTCAAGCCTGTTCAAGGGTAGGCAAAATAGTTTGATGAAATCTGCGTAATACACACGTTCTTTAAAGACACACCTCAGTTATCCTATGTAACCACTACCTTGTTCACAGGTTCATGCATTAGAAATGGGTGGATTTTCGGTTTTAGATGCTATGATGCATCTCCCCACTACACATCACTAGACTTGAGAGAGAGATTACCCAGAGCTTTGTACTAAGTTAATGGGTCATAAAGGAATACCAAGTTTAACTTCATTATCTTAACATTGGAAGGTCAAAACATTGTCGGACAGGAAAAATCCTTTTGCCCAAATAACTGCCTTAATAGGGCTGACGGTAATCTTTGAGGGAAACTGTGTATATCTCTCAGTTTGAGGCATAGGAAATTCCCCCCTAATTAACCCCACAGGGAAAGATTATCATATTTTATTACTATTATATCAAATGGCAGGCGTTTTGATTGTTATCATTAGCCCTTTAGTTGACTTCAGTCTTCACAGAGGGGAAGGAACATCAAAGTGTACAAAATTCAAGAGGGGGGGGGGGAACAGAAGAGTGTATCAAAGACGAAGGTAGATAAAGTGGAAAAAAGGTGGGATGAGTACTGTGAAAGTAGTCGAATATGACATACAGTGGGGTCATGATAGTTTGAAGTCAACTGCCAAGTAATAGACTTTTTTGCCGTATGACTATACGTTCCCCAGGGTGCACCACGTGGAGATAAGTCTATCACACACCCCAAGATTATCATATAATTTGTGTGCTATCCTGGCATTGAACC